TTTCGTTTTCATGGTGGAAATTGATAAATTGCCATTTACCTACCTTCAGATATTTTGCAACTTGGATTATGACATCCCTCTTCCAAATTGTAAAATATTGTGTTGAGTCCTAACCTTAATATTTCATTCGGGTGTTATATTAAGGACTCTTATCTAATATAAACTTTGTATTTCTTTTTCAGATGTCTTCCAACAATGATCTGGCTCAAATCCTACTGGCTATTTCTCTCTCATGAACCTTTATGAGAGAGTCATCTTCGATGGTACTAATTTCAATAATGAGATTAGGAACATCAGGATGGTCACTCGCTATGAGGACAAGGAATATGTCCTAGACAATGAGCTTAAGGTCATTGATGAGTCTTCTGCTACTCCTGAGGAGATTGTTGAGTACACTACCCATGAGAAGGATGCCACTAAGGTGTCTTGTATCATGCTGGAAACTATGACAGCAAAACTCCAAAAGTCCTATGAGGATTTCTACCCTTATGAGATGCACCAAGAACTGATGGAAAGATACCACCAGAGTGCTCATCAAGAGAGGTATGAAATCATCACCTCCATGATAACAACTAAAATGAAGGATGGAGAGTCCATCACGGCCCACTTGCAAAAATGCAAAGGTTTGTGGACCGTCTGCTGAAGTTGAATATAAACTTCGATGAGGAACTGGCCATAGGTATTATTCTACATTCTCTACCTCCTTGTTATGATCAGTTTCGTATGACTTATCATATAAACAAGGAGGATGTCACCCTCAGCAACCTTCAGGGATTTTTGAGGACTGCTGAAAGTAGTCTCAAAGGTAAAAATGTTGTTACCACTACTACTACTGTCCCGGTTCTGGCAATCGGGCAAGGCAAAGGGAAGAAGTGGAAGACCCGTACCAAGGGTCATAAGGGAAAGTCTCTTGATGGATCCTCTTCTAGTAGAATTAAAGTTAGTCCTGTTACTCCTTCCACCAACCCAAAAGAAGCAAAATGCTTCTATTGCATGAAAAGAGGAACTAGAAGCGAAGCTGCCCCAAGTACTTGTAGGATGTTAAGGATGGGAAAGCAAAACCCACCTATGTAGGTATTTACACTATACTGTCTAATAACTCACCACATACTAATTCTTGGGCCCTTGATACAGGTTGTGGAATCCACATTTGTGCTAATTTGCAGGGACTAAAAAGAAGTAAGGATGTGGAGCACGGGAAGATAAACTTAATCATGGGGAATAGGAAAAGCTTCATCTGTCACCAAGATTGGAGTTTATTCTTTATTGCTTATTATTGGGTTAGAATTAGATTTGAATAATTGTTGCTACTCATCCGAATGGCGAGAAATATTATTTCCTTTCATGGTTTGTACAAACAAGGTTTTAGTTTTTTATTTGATAATGAAATTGTTGCTATTAATGCTATTTATAATGGTGTTTTTTATTTTAAAGCATTTCCTTGTAATGGTGCATATGAAACTGTGATGGTTGTAGACAACTTAGGAAATAATGTGTTGCACATTGATTCTTTCACTAGTTTGGATAAGGCATGCTTGTGGCATTTTCGTCTTGGACATGTCAACAAGAAGCGCATAGGCCAACTCCAAAAGGCTGGAGTCTTGGAGTCATTCGACTTAAAGTCAAATGATAGTTGTGAATCTTGTTTGCTTGGAAAGATGACTAAGTCACCCTTCACTGGTACTTGTGAGAGGGGTGAAGGTTTGTTGGACCTCATACACACGGATGTGTGTGGACCCTTCAAAACCACCACAAGGGATGCTAACCACTTCTGTGTGACTTTTACTGATGATTACAACAGATATGGCTATATCTACTTAATCAAGAATAAGTCAAAAACCTTTGAAAAGTTCAAAGAGTTTAAACAAGAAGTGGAGAATTAGATGGGCCAAAAGATAAAGCTGCTCTGATCCGATCGGGGTGGAGAGTATTTTAGTATCAATTTCTTTGACTATCTTAAGTAATGTGGAATTGTTTCACAATTGACACCTCCTAGGACACCACAACTTAATGGTGTGGCTGACATGCACAATCGAACCTTGTTGGACATGGTTCATTCCATGATGAGTCGAGCTTCGTTACCAATCTCATTTTGGGGGTATGGCTTAGAGACTACCGCCCATATCCTTAATCTAGTCCCTACCAAGAAGGTTACCAATACACCTCACGAGATATGAATAGGGAAGGTTCCCACATCAGCATACATCAAGGTTTGGGGTTACGAGGGTTTCATGAGGCGCGAGACTCATGACAAGCTCGAACCTCGAAGTGAGCGATGCATTTTCATCGGCTACCCACAAAAATCCTTTGGATATCTCTTCTACAGAATGAGTAACAATGTTGTCTTCATTGCGAGGAGAGGAGTCTTTCATGAGAGAGAATTCATAGGCCAATGAAACTCCATAATGGAGTGCAGGTAAGAAGAGGGAGAGTCGATACGAGTGTACTACAATAGATTCACACTGGCGACACTCAACGTTCTGGGCCACGAAGAGTTATTTGTAACTGGTGCCTTCGCCCAAGGTCTACTCATTAGACCTTTGTCAAAAAAGATGCAGGGGACGGTACCTCAATCGAGAGATGAACTTAAATACAACGTCGAAAAATACCTCCGACAAATCGAAGCGATGAACTCAAATACAAAGTCAAAAACCACCTTCGACAAATCGAAGGTGAGGGACAGAAGGAAGCCAAATAAAAGCCTTTGTAAACACGTACATCAAGCAAGAGGAAGCAAACTCCCATGCTAACTCCACTCACCAAAACCACCATAACAAAAGCCACGACAAGTACAACCAACACTCAAGACACCTACCTCACAGATTTTACCCTTTCAGCAAGGATGAGCCATGGAGTCACTGGGATGAGGTTTATGCGGTCGAGAAAACACCTCTAAATGTGGACAAAGAAAAAGGGAAGTACTATGAGTGCCACAAAAGTAAAATGCATGACACCGACAAGTGCACGATCCTGAGGAAGGAAATGGACGAAAAAGGCCTAACGGGAGACCTCATAGCAATTTCCAAGGATTTGAAGTCCAAGTTAGACGTTGAACAGAGAAATAAACGACATCGAAAAGATGGGGGCAAGCGCGAACCATAGTGAGACCTCTCGAGCGAAGTGAGCACCAAGAGACATACGAACATATCGAGGTACTCCCTAAGAACACCTCAATATCAGCTTCTCATTGAAAGACCCACGCATGCCCAACTGGAATCCCAGGGATCAACTCATTATAACTGCCACCGTACCCCTCAAGCAAATTCATCAAGTGTTAATGGACAACGGCAACATCACTGACATTCTTTATGAACACTACTTCCACCAACTCCCAACCTCCTGGAACGAAGGTCTGCAATCCTCAACCCAGCCGACGATGATAGGTTCCTTGAACGGCCAACTCTCTTCCAGCTTCGGCAAATACCATCAACACTCCACGGAATGGTGAAGTTTAGTACAAGCACGGGCTCAGCCACAATCGTCGTCTACAACCCACTTACACGGTATGGTAGATCCATTGCCACATTGGAAACACTGCACGTACCAAGGAAATGAAGAACACATTGCCATATGAAGAAGCACCCGATATCGTTGGTTAACTAACGACATCGAGATGGCAGATGGGAGAATGCCTAGATTAAAGAAATCCTGAGGGAAAGACACAGTAGCAAAAATGAAACTGTACCGGAAGATGTGCCGCCTCACAGCACCAAGCAGACCACCCAGACCTTAGCAAAAACACAAAGCAAGGACCAAAAACCATACCCAAAGAGTAACACAAAAAAGAAGAAAAGCTGGAGACAGACCCGTTCAGAAAATGGAAAAATGGGATAGGACGCCTACCGACTCCCTGTGAGCCTCCCATCACCCATAAGACTAAAAGCCAGAATACTCGGAAACACAGGGACACAGAGGCACAGAGCAGAGAGTGACACACACACATGGATCCTAAGGTCGAACGAGCAACTCAAGAGGAAACCGCGAATGCTAACACAATATCGTCCAGAAATGAGGTTAATCCAAAAATAAATGTCGAAGTCACGAAGACCTTTCGACGGGTCCAAACTGTGTTCAAATCACCACCCATATGGGTCGCTCCCAGTCAACTCCCCAAGTGACGGTGCACAGGGAACATAGGGAGGCCTGAGAGGTGTGGTAAGGCGAATGTGGGCCGAAAAAGAAAAACACTCGCCCCCGGAGAGGAGTCGAGTCGGGTGAATAGAACTGAAGCGCTAAGGAATATGAGAATCGTCTTTAGAAGAGCGATTCACCCATAAATGACAAGCTCGAGCATGCACAAAAACACGGTCGGACCACAAGGAAGCACACCTAGGAAATCGGGAACATCTAGGATTCCAACACACAGACGCCATATGGACATTCCCCGTTGGAGAAATGCCCTACAAGCCTTTCCTATGCAACCCCACAGAATACAAGACGACCAATGCTAAGATTGCACGGATTCCAATAGATAAAGTACAACCAGCAAAAGAACAATATTTTCCTTAGGCAAAGAACCAAACAAGCAGCTCGCAAACAAGAAGTCCTGAGAACCATTACCAAAAGAATGTCTAGCCCGGGGTCACGTCGGCCCATCACATGCAAGGATGAAATCGAAACCCTGAAAATCACTGTCGATGAATACCCAATATATCAGGTTATCATTCCTCTTCAAATCCAACACTCCATGACTTTGACTAACAACAATCGGTCACCAAATCTATGGGGTATCGATATCATGGGGCCACCCCCCCCCCCCCCCCCCCGCATTATCCCAGGAGGAACTAGTTACCGCCTTGGTACCCTCGACCATTTTAGTAGACAGGAAAAAGATAACCATCCATCAATATCGAAAAAAGCATGGGTTGGAAAACCACCAGCAACATCTCAGCTCCATCTCTAGGTCCCAAGGCCAGACCTCGATGGAGAATCGCTTAACCTAATAAAAGGAGTGAAAGCAATGCTGCACTTTGGATAAAAAAAACAAGCCATTTCGAGCCCTAAACTTTGGTGAAATCATCAAGAAGGAAAAGCAACGTCCAAACAGGAACATTCTCAGTGGGAAACACGAGACCGTTAAACTCAGCCAAGCCAAACACAAGGGAGACGCCAAAAATCGCCACACTTGGTATATGCAACTGGAAAGCCACGATGTAGGAGACTAGACGTTGGAAAAGGATGGATTTAACCATACACGACCCAAGAGCTAGCTAAATGCCGCTAAAGAACATGAATTTAGGGCCAGAAAAATGCACCAAGATGGAGTTGGCATCCCAAGAGCTCAGGACGAATGAGTCGCCTTCTGGACTCGGAGTGTGTTAATTTTGCACTACCACCCCTAGAGTTAGGAAAAATTATAGATAAGGCACATTCGTGGCTTAGGAAATGTGATCAAACTTTGAATGGATATTCACACCCCAACAGATTAACCCAAGAAGCTAGACCTTGGCTTACACCATGATGTAGTCACCTCTTTTTCTTTACTCATCAAACAATTTAGTTATATCTAAAAACATTATCAATGAAGAAAGTGGACTACCAAAAAAAATATTAGAATGTTTTTTACTATTCAAGCTTGATAACACTCAAAAAAGAGGTTGTACATGTTTACCAAATGATAACAAGGACTGATCATCCACATCATTTGAGTGAAACCGTTGTAAGAATTCAACCATAGGTGTTTAAAGGTTCATAACCTTTCCCTAAAAAAATAATACCTAAGTCCTAAACGCCTAGAGGTGACGATCTCAGGTTGACTTAGATAATTAGGTTCAGGGTACAACTCCCCAAGGCTCAAGACTTAGAACAAAGTCTAAAAAAGGGTAGTCATCAAACCTTAGCTAACAAAAAAAGGGAGGAATTCCCTAACAAAGAAAAGTGGACAAAAAGACCTAGTATAGAAATAATGGTCTACGATCCAAATAAAGGACAAATTCCAAGCCCACAACACGAGCTCCCAGGATAAATCCAAAGCAAATTAAGAAAAGATAGGTCCTAGAGTTATAAATTGGGCAAATCCAGTAGCACAACTAGATCGCCTAACAACACAACCGCCCACCAAGCAGAGAGATCTAACTGTCTCGAGTCGACGCCCCAAGTCTAACACAAACCTAGGGAAAGAATTGCCTCAACAAGGAAAAGTAAGGGTGCATAATCACTAGTAGCCAGCATAAACAACCTAGGGATAGAAACAAAGGTATCACAGAAGCAAAAATGACTATGCTACCAAAACAAAAAGAAAAACCTTGTCTTTCCAGAAAACTACCATAATTGAAAGGGGCGCACGGGACCAAACAACCGTTAAAAGTATTGTCTTGAAGACATTTTCTCAGAAACACAAAAGTTCAAAAACTATTCCACATAATCAAATCAGGAAGAAAAAGAAGACCATTTACCGAGAGCAGTGGAGGAAGATCTAACTTTGAAAGGTCACCTTCAGGAGGGTTGTCCTCGACTTCAAGATCACGACACAACTGGCGAAGGCCCTCTAAGTCGAGCTCATCCAAATAAATGAGGGAGGCAAAATTTGTTTCTATGAACGACCTCACAGAAGCATGCATGACCTGAGTCATTTCCACCACAATACTTGGCTCCTGCGGATTGAATTTCCTGGAGGCCACCTATTCCTTCACTTCCTGCTTTTCCCCCTCCACACCAGCTGCAACACACACCGCCTTCATTCATCGGATCCCAGCCAAGAACTCAGGACTCTCAATGACTCGATCAACCACTCAAACAATACAATCTCATAACAGCCAAGCCATATCACCCTCCATAGGCTTCCACTTGGTTTCCCCGACAACCAGCTATCTAGCCTGTTGCGTCACCTGCTCTTCCAATAACCCTCTATCACCTACCAAAGTCTCCACTCTCTTCGCCAAATTCTCCACTGACCTATCTAAACTTGTAACTTGTTCCTCCACAAACGCCTTATCACTGGCCAAAAGGTCATAACGCTCTTCAAATTTGCGCTTCTCCCCCTCCAACCCCAGGACTTTCACCCTTAACTCATCCCTCTCAACCCTAGCATAGGAATGCTCCACTGAATCTGAACTGACCTGATGAAGGTGCCGAGAAGCAGCCACCAAGTAAGGAGCGACCTGATCCGCTGCATACCGGATACTGTTGGACATGTGAGAGTTAGAGAGGAGCTCCACATCTTCGATTGTGGCCGAAGGGAAAGCATGACAGCCCCATTTGTACGTAATGGAATGTTGTGTAAGAAGGAACTCATTAGTGAGCCCCCAATGTGGGATATAAACTCTAGGGGCCGTCAGAGGCGAAGAAGAAGAACCTACAATAACATTATCATTCGCCAAAGGTGAAGCAAAATTAGAAGAGGTTTGAAACTTAACCTTGGGCTCCTTGCCTATAGCACCTTCACCAGGAATGATAGTATGCTCTGGCTCTTTAGGTTCACAAAGTTGTTCAATCACCTCTTCATTTATTCCCTCTGAGTGTTTCAAAGTGTCATCATCGGGAATTTCCACCACCACGTCCGACTCCCCAAAAGAAAGTCAACCTTCTGGTTCTTACAAAGACGCTTTCCAATAGTGCTAACATGGGTGCCCTTAGTTAGTAGGGAGTCTAATCAAGTCAACCATCGCTTGATAGATGAGCAGCTACCTCCAGTCTCCATCTCCCCTGATGCCTCATCCTCCGGATCCTAAGGCAGAGGAACATCGCAATAAACTCCCTTAACAATTGCGTTGATCCACTCCAGGTCAGCTTGCGCATCGGACCCTTACGCCACAACACTGCTAGGACTAGCACGAGCCGGAGCACAATCAACACCGACCAGTAGAGGAAGGATCTCCACTAGAGGCCTTTCACAGTGTTGCAAATTTCCCTCAAACCTACCCCGTAGGACCCTCTTGAAAGGAATGATCCTCTGTCGACCTGCAACAAAGAACAAATCACATATGTAAGGATTGGCAAATCCACCTCCCCACCAAGAATCACATAAAAAATAAAGTGGGGGGATGCACACTCACCATCCTTCTCCATGAAGATTGGGGCATCATATCGCGTGCCCTCCAGGCGGCGCTCATCCCGACGGCGACCAACATGTAGTCCTCCCAATCCTCCCTATTGAAGGAAATAGTTCCCAGCACCTATTCCACAGTCTCGCTGACCCCCCAGAGTTGGGGTGTCCAGTCGGTGAATGCGGTCCTGTAAGGATAGCCAAATCCGACCAAGTTGCGGTTCACCCACAACCATTTTTCCTGCCAGTTCTTCCTAGGGGCCTTCTGGTTTATGATGAATTCATGGGCACCCCACTATTGAGAGAACGTATGCACACTGGATTGAGTAGAAGAGTTGAAGAAGTATTTTAAAACACAGAATTTAGGGAGCATGCCCAAAGCCCGACAAGCCATCTCAAAACCAACTATTTTGTCGACGGTGTTAGGGGTTGGATCGTAAAGAGATAAGCTATAATAACGCATGATCTCATCAAAAAATTTGGTTATCGGTAGACGGAGACCCGCCTTAAAAATTGGGATTGGGACTCTAATTTTCCCTTAATACGGTTGGGAAATGTGCGCTCCCCTTCGAGGATATTGCACACCGTGCTCATAAAGAAACCCAAATTAGGCCTGAAGGGACTCAAACTCTTTTTGTGTAGTTTTGATTCAGGTGATTGGTGTCGTCATTGCTTACCGCTAACAGATGAAAGATGAAAGAGAAAGGAAACAAAGAAAAAAGAAGGGACGGTTGAAGAGCAGTAAAGCGAAGAAAATGAAATTGTCCCCAATAGGGAAATCTTTAAATGAGAGGTGGGAAATTTGAATGATCGCAGTGATGAAACTGTTTGCACAGCGATTCCCTCACATCAGTAGACGTCGAATCCATCCTCATCGAACATGTGTCTTGATCTAAGATAGAACAACCCAGCTACCCAAGGCTAACATTGGCATCTACTAGCCTAGGGGACTTGTTAATGTATCCCTTTAATGTATCCCTTTGAGAATATGCCATTGATAATGGGGTGATTATTTATTAGACGACCTAGCTAACGGTCGTTACCCGATGTAAGTGCTAGGTTCGAGCCTTCACCCTTGCGGTCTCATTCTTAGGCCCCGGTGTCCAAACACCAAGACCCATAACAGGACAAAATAGTACCAGATTTCTCCCCAGAACGACAAGTGTAGCGCTCGGAGCACCGCATCTCAGTAACTCTACACCAATAGAGGATAACCACTAGTGGTACACGACTCACCAATAGGACGCCTCCATATCATAACAGTCTAAGAAAGACAATAGGTACTGTTGGGGACATGCTCCATGAACGATAGGTATAAAAGAGATCATTCTTCTCCAGAAGAAAGGATCTCCCTCTCTCCATCTAATACATAACTCTAATTCTCTTATACACCTACTAACTAGAGAGTTGAAGTCTCGTTCTAGGACACCCTCACAGACGATGACTAACATCGGCTCTTTCACTATTGTGATTCTTAGGCTTAACTAGATGATACGATCTACCAACGACGTTAGGCCCGAAGGCATATCACAACATCTTCAAATACTTCTTATATAATATGGACATAAGTCATTAAAATGACCAAAATACCCCACAAATGTTTCATTACTAAAATTTATTGCTTCAAACTATTCCTAATGAAAACCTATGAACGTAGGCAAAAACTCTGCATAAATCTGAGTCTGTATGCAAAAGTTAGGAAGAAAACAAGTGAACCTATAATAGTGACTTCCACGATCGTGGATATTAAGGTATGAGTATACGCGGGCCATGTTCTTATGTCTCAACACACACAAAACTCACCTTCTCAAAATAAAACCCTATGTTGCATAGTTCTTGAAGACCCTTTTCCAAATCACTTTGTACCATTTGTATAGGTTCTTACACATGATTAGCAAGTGTATTATGATCCAAAAATACCCCACTTAATTCATTAAGTGCTCACTGAAACCTTTTAAGAACATAAAGATCCTCAAGCTTTAAATGGAGAGTTAACTAGTCTAGTTTCCAATTGCATATTTTAAAACTCACATAGTTTGTTCCTAACTCATTGAATACCTGTATGAGAGTTCTCAAGTATATAAAACCACCATTAAACTTATTTTATGTACATAAACTAAAAATGGAATCCTCAATTCCATTCAATGTTTTCCTAAATTCCCCTTTAGGCCAAAACAATCACCAGAGTTAGAACTTCTCAAGAATCTCTTCATGTTAATGATCTAATATCATCTCTAGAGTGTTAGCTCATGATCATAAATGTCATTTACTTCTAATATGTCAATTATCATGTAGTTATCAGTATATTTCTTAAAATGCCCCTATGAGTACAAACTCCCTGGGTTCATCCAATAATTAATCAACACTTAGTATTTTTGTAGGAAAATCATTCTAATAGCATCCATTCGTGATTATGAACTTCATTTGCTCAAAAATATACCTTAACGCATTAAATCCATTAATGTCATCATATTTTTCCCAGAGGCACCTAAAATCCATGTTTACACTTGATTCTACCATCATGGATGAATTTGAGCATTCCAGTTGGACTTGTTGCTAACATATATCATCTAGTTCATAGAATAAAATCCTATTTCCTCATCAATTTCAATACCCAATTTGGATTTCTATGGTTCATGGATGTTTTCACCCAAATCCTCAAATCTATCAAAGGATGATTAGATTGAGATTGGGATAATCAAACTACTCAAGGGAGGTTAGAAAATGAAACCCTAATCATTGTATCTCATAAATTTCAATATTGGGGTTTAACTCACTATATAAATTCATCTTTTTCTAGGTTAAAGGATATGAGATTATACATGGCAAGCCTTTGTTCTTCCCTTTCTTTATTTGGTTGCTCAAATCACCTCTTGAATCAAAATCTAGAATCCAAGGACATGAAAATTGTCATTAGATATTTCTCCCTTTGCCAATCATGATCTAAAAAGGAATTAAGGAGCCTTGCATTTTATTTCCTAATATTATCACAATTGGTCCCTCTAATTTACATCTTTTGGCCAAAACCCAATAAACCTCAATATTTGTATTTAATACAAGTTTTTACATAACAAGTCCTTCTCCATCCATTATATAACTTTTATAGTCCCTTCCATTAACTAAGTCAACCCTTTGGTCAACTCACCTTGTCAACTTGACACTTTTGGGCATTTACTTTTAGAATGTTAATATGTTATTACTTTTACTTCTAGTTTTCCAAACTTCATACCACTAATGATATGATAAATCCTCAAGATTTAACTATATAAATCAATTTTCATTTATTTACTTTATTAATTTAAGAATCTAGTATTAAATTTTAGGATGTTAGAACCATCTTGTTGACGCATCAACCAATACCATGAAATATTTAAATGGTCTACGCTTTGGTTAGATATGTCCAAAAATATCCCTTTTAATTCTATCAAAAAAATGAGAAACCACTTTTGTAGGTTTTACGTGAATTGGTTTGAGTTTTTTCTTTCCAATTGAGCATTCCCGACCACTCAGATCATAACATGTAAGTACCCTCGTCAACGGGTGCATGACGAATGATTTGATTGTTTTTAATGTTTTGGATCGTGATAA